CGCGGTGGGGCAGATGTCACCAGCATTCATCTGTTCACAGAGGCAGCAGATATGGACCTCTTCAGGAGGGCGGTGTTGATGGTAAGTCCCATTCCTGCCATGTCACAGTGAAAGGATGTTGTTACAGACATGAGGATGTTGCAGTGTGTGGGTGGTGGTTTTATTTCATCCATACCTTAGCATCACTAATAGGGCTGTTACTGCTACAGTTCTTTTTCATCTCACCTGTGACTGCTATCTCCAGGAGCTGGGTGCTTCACAAGGATGTACCAGAGGTGCACTTTGGTGATTGATTTAGTCATAGTGAGAATCTGGTTTTCGTCACTGTGGTTTTTTGTGTATTATATAAATAGTTTTGTTTCATAACTTATAGGTACAACAGGTTCGTTTCCGTTCCATAAATACAGTTGTTGATCAGCAGTTTTTAGACTCTAAAACTGATGAGCCAAACATCCGCATGTTTAAAGTATCCAATCTCTTTATCTGATCTCATGACAGACTTCATTTAAAAGAAAAAGCAGGTTTCAGAGAGAGAGTAAAAATCCGTTTACCCAAGGGCTTGTTTGCTGTCAGCTTGGACCATTTTCACAGTCACCCCAAGTGATCCGTATTTTACAGCCCTTCCTGTGTCAAGTCTCAGGACTTACTCTGAGATCACATTTGTCAGCATCGATACTACCATTACTGATCTTAGAGTAGTGCTCTCTGAAATGAGGCTTAATCTCCAGTGGAAGTTTACATATCCAGCAGGAATGGTACTTGGACAAAATGATATATCTGCTAGCAGTGTTGACTTGAAACAGTGACCAGAGGAATAGAATTCTTGGTCCAGGAAATCTAGGGACTAATTAAATAAAATATTGCCTTGGAGATAACGACATCTCTATTAATTACTTGATTTTTCTTCAGTGTGCCTTTGTTCCAGCAAACATAACTTGCCTTCTACATCTCCATGTCTCAGTAAGATTATTTTAAATTGCATCATTCTAGAGGGGAAGGCAAGGAGAGTTGTTGAAAACTGCTGTTCGAGTAGTTGGGTTTTTTTCCGTCATTCTCAGAGAATTCCTCACATAGTTCCTAGATTTTTAGTCATCTCTTGGCATAGCAGTTAATTTGCTAGTAGACCCAGAGTCCTTTTCTCTCAGAGTGCAGTTTCATCCTACTCTTCCTCTGAAGACACAAACCCTTTACTGACATGGTTTAGGATTGGGCCCTGTGGAATCTGTAACAGGATACAGTGCAGTTTACCAGTTGAGCAACTTATGAAAGAGAAATGCAGGGAACTCTTTGCTTATCTTTATTTCTGGAGTGTAGTTCCATGTTACATCTTTTCTTTTATAAAAGAAACTTTTAACTCCTCCTTTCTCCTCCAGCAGGACATCAAATAATGGAAAATAGTTGCAAGTGGAATAAGCAGGCAGGTGTATCAATTCTTCCCACTAATTTAGTGTTCGTAACAATAATTTTCTTCCTGGACTGTGCAGACAACTACCAACAGCAGGATCTCCACTTATTTCAAAGTAATATTAAGCATTTATCCTTACTTTGTTATGGTGGATTTAGTTTTCTTGTGAAATACACTAATAAAATAAAGAGCAAGCAGTAATAGCAATGGCTTTTTTTTTTTTTTTTTTTCCTTTGTAATGAAATGATGCAGATTGCAACTGTTGGTTTGATCAGATTTCTCATCTAGACCTTCTGGAAAGGGATACATCTTTTTTTCTGTTCCAAGACACCAAGATCATTGAGTACTTTTAATTTTACTATCAAAGAAGGAGGTTCACACAGACTACGAATCATGAAACTGAGAATATATACCAGATACAGCTTTCCTGAGGGTAAAAATTCCATGAAGCAATACAGCTTTTTTGCACAAGTTAGTTTTGCACTCCTTGTTTGGGTCCTTGTCATGCATAAAAAAATGATACTGTTTCTTAGCATGCAGAGAGGTGTGATGTATGAAACTTTCTCTACAAGAAGACGTGCTCCTGAAATAACAAAATGCTTTTGATTTTCCTATGTCTGCCCTATAATAGATTTCGTTTGGAACAGATCTGAAAAATGATTGTACAAAATTAATGCAAAGCTGTCATGGAGACTTTTTATAACTTATTCCATCTTTCAGTAGTATGATTAGAAAAAAGTAGTCTCAGTGATTATGGCCTTGTTTTAAACCATTTAAGAGCATTAACCTAGATTTTAACTTAACATTTTGATTAATTGATTTATTAACCAGTACAATTTTGATGTAGGAGAGTGGATCAATGGTATGGATCGCCTCCATCTCTTTGAGGAGGCTGTGGAGGGCAGATATGGTAGGTGTTACTTCCAGGCATTCTTTGGTTGGTGTCAGGAGGAGAGGTCCCAGGTTTCCTCCCCACAATGCAAGGGAAGACATCAGGTCTCTCCTGGCCATGGAAGCAGGTCAGCCAGTGGCGGAAAGAGCAGATTTATTGCCCTACTGAAAACTATTCCAATCAGGTGCAGGGCCTAAATATTCCTGATCCTGTGCTTAGCTGCCCTTTAGATCCCTTTTCTTCCCCCTTTTCCTAGCTACTTTTTTCTCCCCTTTACCAGCTTCATTTCCTCTCAAACAAACCAAACACCTCTGATTACTTTTTCTCCATTGGCCCCAGTTTTGCTACGTCCCTACCCAAATTTGGTATTTCTGATATAGTTTCTTAGGTAATCTCAGATTTGTGTAGCATCACCTCAGTGCTGTCAGCTGTTACAATATCATGCTTCCCAGAAGGTCTCCAATACAGTCTTTCAGTTATTTGTGAGAAATGACCATACCTCACAGAATTTCCCCATAACCATCTGTGAAATCCATCTGTCCTTTATGACACAATTCATAAGGTTTGTCACCTTTTCACATCGTTACTGTGAGGGTGACTGAGCACTGGCACAGGTTGACCAGGGGAGCTGTGGAGTCTCCATCTCTGGAGATATTCAAAAGCTGTCTGGACATCATCTTGGGCAAACAGCTCCAGGTAGCCCTATGTGAGCAACGGGGTTGGTGACCTCCAGAGGACCCTTCCAACCCAAACCAATCTGTGATTGTGTGAACCTGTTGTCGTGTTTCATCCCCTTCCTACAGAGCCTACCTACTGCTCCTCAGTTACATGGACTCTTGTATTCTTTTGTCATGTTCCATCAAAGATGCCTTCTGGCAGCATCATTGCAAGTCTGGGTGTTTTTACTAGTTGCATGTTAGGTTTTCCATTTTCTAGAAGCAATACAAAGTGTCTATTGGATATTATTTTAATGAATAAATATAAGTCATTACTTAGCAATCTGTAATGCTCCCCATGTACAGTTCACTGGATAAAATGCAGTCACCATAACATATTAATGATCAGTAACAGTAAAAGATTATACAGACACCTAGAGTTCCTGAGTTCATTTTGCTTTGTGGTGTTCAATGTTTACCAGCCAAATTACATTCATCCTTTAAGTTCTGAAATATGCTTAAATAGGCTGTGAACTATTTTGATTTCTTAATCTCTCTTGATAGTGCATATGATCTGTTGCAAGATCTAAAGAGCACACAGATTTGTGCTGAGAGCTATTTACAGAGGAAATATATTTATACATATATAAAAAACTCAAATTCCTTATCTCTCCAAACCTTCATTACTCAAATCTGTGCAAAAAAAAAAAGGTATGACAGAATATTAGATAGAAAAGATCTCTCCTTGAGAACATAGATCGCAGCATTTTGCAACCCCAGATATGAGTGACTACTTGATTTAGAAAGCAATCACAAGTCAGGTTCAAAGGATCATGCTAGTTGCTGCTTTATCACTTAGAAAAGAGTACATATATATATATATATATATATATATATATGCTAGTTACTCACTCACTGTCACATATTCACATGGTACAAAGTATCAATTTCTTCCTTCTCAGTCATATACTTTTAACAAACGTAAAAAATAAATCACCGGTAAAAATACATCTAGTGACTCAGTTGACCACATACTGTGAACTGTGATATGCCCTGCTTGTCAGTAGGTGTCATGCAACACCACAGTTTTTAAACACCTGGTTTGCATAAAAATGTCCCTTAAATAGGATATTCACCTCCAAATGGGTTTGTTGGTTTTTTAAGGTCACAAATATTCTCATCTGGGTGATGAACAAGTGTAATGTGAGCATCCACTAATGAGGAACTGCAACTAATTCCTGTCTCTTTGATTATGTGGTTGGTTGTGTTTGGAAAGGCAGCAGTAGCCAACACAGCAGTGAGCTACAGATAGCAGAGAATAGAGACCTTGCTGGAGAGACTAAACACAAAGGCACCAAGCCTAGTACCTTCTCACCTCTGTATTACCTTTTCTTTCCCCTTTTCTCCCTGTGCCTCCAATAATCCAATAAAAACTCTTTTGTTTCTGCCAGAGATGCAAACACAACTCAATAATGTCATCATACAGATCAGCTAGCTCAATTTTTCTCTAATCCAATCAATAAAATGACCATGCTGTGCTCCCTGCTCCGATTTAAAATCGAGGATGATAGCCTGAAAGAAGTAAATCCCAGTTCACTGCTGATCAGACCTCAGGGTGTCATTTTGTTCAGTTGCTGTTTTCACAGCTTGGTCATATGCACATTGAACTTGTAAATGCAGCAATGAAACTAAATGAAGTGGGGAGCAAAACAAAAGTTGAATTTTACAGATTTTAGGCTGATTGAAGCCCTCAAAGAACTCATTGAATGCCCCAGTCATGAGTTAAGTGAGTTAAGGAGGAAAGGTTCAGTCACATGCCTGACATCACATGTGTGAATGACATGACAGACCACAGGGATTTACATTTCTGTGCCCGAAAACCTAGATCAATCCA